TAGATATCCAGTTATGCCAGCACCATTTGTTAAAGAGACTGTCTTTTCCCCAATTAATGGACTTTGGGCCTTTGTCAAATATTAGCTGCTCGTAGGTGGATGAGCTTATATCTGGATCCTCAGCTGTGTTCCATTGATCTATGTATCTGTTGTTGTACCAGTATCAGGTAGCGTAAGGCCTCCCGCTTTGTTCTTGAGTAATGCTTTATTCATTCGAGGCCTGTTCCCTTTCCATATGAAGTTGGTGGTGTTGTGTTTGATAACTGTTTGCATTGTTCTCAAAGTGTCCATGAAGCTGTTAGCCATATGGGATCCTGAGCTGGATCTTCATGTTAAAGCCCTGGGTTCAGAGACCTGGTTAGAACCCCAGCTTTGCTTGGGGAGGCCCCTTCACCTCCCTCACACCTCATTTTTCCCATCTGTAAAATAGATGCCATCGTAGTAAAACCTGCCTCATTTGTTTACGAGGCTTAACTAGGTAAATGTAAATGAGGTACTTGGCATAGTGCCCGGTATTTCTATGTTCAGTAACATTAGTTTCAACGACCACGCCTACCAGTACGTCCTCTGCTGATTTTCCAGGCTGGTCAAACATTGTCATTGGGCCTGTTTAGGACATTGAATTCTGTGTTTTAAACTGGAGTGTGCTCAGGGAAGAATGATCGATCACAGTTGAAATCACAACAGGTGAGGAAAAGTCAAAGGAGCTGGAGGGGAAAACTTGGGAAGAAGCGGTCATTGTATTCAGATGTTTGAAGGCCTGGAAAGGGAAGGCGAGCGGTGGATGCAGAACGTGAAGCAGTGTATAGAAATTGCATGCAAAAAATTTGCCGTCACGTAGTAAAAAACCTTTTGTCATCTCTGGCCAAAAGTGGCTTGAGCTGCTTCATGAGGTAGTGAGCTCCTTATTTCTGGATGTTTTCCAGACAAGTTTTACAGAACCATTTGTCAAAAATGTCATGAAAGAAATGTGTGGGTTAGGGTTGGAGTAAACTACCAAGGGGTCCCCTGGGAACCTCCTGGGAAAGAGCTTGAGTACAAGGCATTATGGG